TATATCTCCTTTTATTAATATATTTTTCTGCACCGTTTCTTTTATTAAAAGACTATCTTGAAAATCGTTAAGCTTATCTCTACGCTCTAAATTAGAACTTAAAGTATCCTTGCCTCTGTGACGAGCGCTACTGTATAGTGAAACCTGTCGTATTTTAGGGGACAGCAGTATCATAGGCTTTGAGTTTTTTGAAGTGTCACAGCACTTGCTGAGAACGGTGCATGGTGGCAGCTGATGTTCGGTGTGTAAAGGGTTAACTGCAAAGTTGACCAACCCTAGGGACGATAACTCTGTCTGCTGGCCTTAAATTGTTGTCCCGCAAGCTAGTAAATCTCTGTGTAGTGTGAGGCTGAGAGTTGTATCGCCACCTCCTTGTGACAGCTCGTTCGGTTCAGAACGTGTGTCACGTGTGATTGACATACAATCGGTTCAGGCCGGGCGCGTACGTCAGGGGGGACACCCTAAAATTTGTCCTGCAAATTTTTAACTGTTAGTGCAAATAAAGTGTCACTGACGGTACTGAACTGTTTTCTAGCATAGATTCAGAATCCTAAATCTCTTTTTCTGCCTTTTTGTGCCTTTGCGCTGGCAAGTAATGTTAAAGTCCAAAATGTTTTTAATTCTCATCAAATCACTTACAGTGGATGCTTCCCCTTGATGTTTGAAAGTTTGTTTCCTGCAGAATCAGCTGGTCATCTGAGTACTAGTTCTGATATCCTCCTTTTTAGGGTGGCTCCTTTCTCTTGCAGGGTCCTATGGGGGCCACCCTTGTGTGTGCTAGTGTATTTGTCATCACAAATACACAGTCACAGCAAGGCAAGCCACTCCTCTCTGCCCCTCCTTCCTCCCTTCTCCAGGCTAGTAGATGTGATCTTGTACTGGACAGGAAGTTCAGGAAAGCCAAGCTGAGAAAGTTGGAGCCAACTATTCAGAAACATGACTGTAAAATGTTAAAAAAAAAAGTTTGCTGGGTAATGGATATTTGTTTGATCTGGATTCATTATTTATTTTTATAAATGAGTGTTTCATACTACTTTCAGTATTACTGTTATCATTGAGGCCTACAGGGATAGTATTTTTTCCTGTAGAGCACACAAACCGGGATACACCAGTATGAGCGACCTTTGTTTTAGTTATTAACACCTTTTCGTTAACTCGACCTTCATTTCTGTTCTTGTTTTTCTTTCTTATTTACCCCTCAGGTAATTTTTCATCCAGAGTTCCTCTCCTCTACCAGCCCACTTTTACCAGTGGATTATGAGGAGTTTGTGCGTGGATGTCACCTTGGGGTCTTCCCTTCTTACTATGAGCCCTGGGGGTACACGCCTGGTAAGCCATGACTATTCTTATCTGAGGTCCTGTGCTCTACAGAATTACCTAATAAACACTCTGTTGCTTCTGAGAGAATCTTTGAACCTATATAATACCTTTTTTATAATGAATTGTATGAAGCCTGACACAGGAATCCTGAAAGCTGGCATGCTTAATAAACAAGGGTATCAGTCAAACTCCAAACTTCCTGCACTAATCAATGGTTGATTAGTCCACTGTTAACCGTTGGGAGGGCAGTCAGTATGCACAGCTATATTTTAAATGCTGCTATACATAAATGCCCCCCCCCCCCAAAAAAGAAAAGAAAATGTTTTTGAAATTTCTCAGACACCGCAAATTATATTGTAGTTTAATGGAGAACTTAAGATAAAGCTTAAAAATACATATATACGTTTTGTCCGTCACTGGAAGTAAGCCTATATTTAGAAATTGTCTCAATTTTCTGGGTCCAGGAACAGGCTAGACATTACATACAATAATTTGTGGTTGTGACTCCTGCCACACACCTAGCATGATAGTGGACTGAGCTAAATGGCTGAGTACACATATCGGCACCAAGCAGGTAAGGTGGTCCTGGAACCCCAAACATTGTGTTCAGAGCCATGATTGAACATAGACTTTGTTGCTGTTCCTTTTTAGATTTTCCCACCAGCACAGCTGGGGCACAATTCCCCACAAGCAAAAAATAATTTGTTACTGCCTGATGCCAGTTAGCAGGATTTCCTCTCATGTTTTGTCTCTTCCGTGACAGGTTTTTATCGCCATTTCTGTCCCTGCTGTGAAATGGGTGGGGGAGTAACTCCTCCCTCACTCTTAAAACCTAAAAAGGTAGCTTGTGCTTTACTTTTATTATGAGTGGTTACCCCAACCTAAATAACTGACAAGGATTTGCAGTGTCAGGTTTGCAAACCTCCTGTAGGCGGTAGTATATCCACACATCAAGAAAGTTTCATGCTGCGTCCTCCAATGAAAAATATCGACCCAATCCGAAAATGTAACTCTGGGAGGGTATACCATTGTATGTGGTACCCTGGAATATCCTGACCAAAATTGGATTCTGCATTTTCCATTAAGGTTGGAGACCTGTTAGCTAAAATCTGTGAATACTTTACTTTTGCTGAGGAGCCAGTTCTCAGTCACTTCAAAAACATATATAGTCCAATCTAAGTGGTTCATTTTAAGTTCTTTCTCGTGATAAGAATAGAATGCACCTTTTGTGCATTGGTTCAGCTCACAAAATGACTGGCATTGTGTTTCAGCTTCCATTTTATAGCTAACTCTATGGGTTTCCTATGTCACATCTGAATCCTGTTAATTCTCTCCCCAGCTGAATGTACTGTTATGGGGATCCCCAGTATTTCCACCAACCTGTCTGGATTTGGATGTTTCATGGAGGAACACATTGCTGACCCTTCTGCCTATGGTAAACTGCACTATATTTTACATCCCATTTTGTTATATTTGTCATTGTGTTCCATTTCTATATGTTTGGGCGTTATCTGCCGTGCAGGTATCTACATCTTAGATCGACGGTTCCGTTCCGTGGACGATTCCTGCACTCAGCTCACGTCCTTCCTATACAGTTTCTGCCAGCAGACACGACGCCAGCGCATCATTCAGAGAAACCGCACCGAGCGCTTGTCTGACCTTCTTGATTGGAAGTACCTGGGCAGGGTAAGATGTGTTTTCACTGTTAACATAACCTCCTACTGTTCTCCTTACATCCTAGAATGGATTTGCACATCCTAAACTTGTGCTGACTATAACTCTACTAAATCAGTTCCTAACTTGTCACAAGGGGCGAAGGGGGTTCTTCACAGTAAGATCAGTTAGGGTCTGGAACTCACTGCCACATGCGGTGATTTCAGCAAATAATGTGGACTTGTTCAAGAAACTTTTGGACGATTTCTTAAGGGACCGTAATATACAGGGGTACAGGTACTCCTAGAATGAGATCCTAATAGGTTGGACTTGATGGACTAATGTCTTTATTCAACCTCAAATACTATGTAACTATGTAAGATACAGCAAGCATCGCTTTTTTTTTTTTTGCTTTTTTTAAAGCGGTCTATTAAATTCCTTAAGCTCCCGTCTATTGACTTTTCCTAGGCTGAGATGATGTCAGTCGGCTGCAGGCAGGAGGAAGCATTTCCCCTGGCTTGTCTCCTTGATCAGACTGCTACATAGTAATATTGTAAACACAATAAGGGAGACATGGGAAAAGTATAAAATGTAATTTAGTTAGGGCTTAAATCTTTTTTAAGGAGCAAAAGCTGTATATAGTTTACTGACTTATTTAAAAAATACCATGATTTGATAATGTAACATGTGACAAATTCAGCTGATCTTTGCAATAAAACATCATTTGTTTCCTTTTGTCTCCTAGTATTACATGTATGCTCGACACATGGCACTGGCTAAAGCATTTCCTGACAACTTTACATATGAACCCCATGAACCCACTGCTGTAAGTACATTTGCAAGTCCACTTTTACTTTGGCACTGTATTAAATTACTGTGAACCTTATAGCATGTATGTTAGATTTCACATAGAGTTTCAACACTAAAAGCAACAGGTTTGTTGTGCCCCTGCAGATCATGGGCTTACTGATGGTTTGACCACCTCATGTGGATGACTTCTGGGAGGTTTCTCCTGCAGCTCTTCCAGACAGATCCATGGGAAAGTATAGTGGGGACATATATTAAAATAGTCACACTGCTGTGAATGGTCACATGCGCGTTTGATTTCACAATCTATTTTTCTATAAAACACTAGTCTTCTGTATTGTGCTTTTCTTGTGCAGACAAGAAAGTTGTTATTACTGCAACAGGCTCGTGGTGCTGCTGTTGAGATGCTGGGTAGCTGCCATGGTGGAAGAAGAGGGCTGTGCACTCGGGCATGGGAAGCTAGCACTCGGGCATGGGAAGCTAGCCTGGCACCTTGAGCCTTTGGTACCCTGCTGCCAGCAGCACTCCAGATGTGCCCCCTTGATCTGCTGGCTACACTTGATAGCAGCATGCTGCCTGCAATCATTTTTACATAGAAGGGCCATAGGGGCTCTTGCGCATTGCATGCTCATTCTCCAATTGTTTGCACTGGAGTGCTAGTCATTAAAAAATTCCAGCACAAGGTGCGAAGGGGGTTCTTCACAGTAAGATCAGTTAGGGTCTGGAACTCACTGCCACAGGCGGTGATTTCAGCAAATAATGTGGAATTGTTCAAGAAACTTTTGGACGATTTCTTAAGGGACCGTAATATACAGGGGTACGGGTACTCCTAGAATGAGATCCTAATAGGTTGGACTTGATGGACTAATGTCTTTATTCAACCTCAAATACTATGTAACTATGTAACTATGATCTCAAATGATCTCTCGTAGAGGATCAAATAAACGCTTGTGTTTAGATAGTATACAATCCTATGCTGCAACAGTTTTAAAACCAATGTAACTCCATTGATAAATATCTCCTAAAAGAGTACCAATTTTTGTATTAAATGTAGAGATTTTTAGAGTACCCACTAGAGGGAGCTCTCAGCTCAATGGACTCTGTACCTAACCACTATAGAGAGCTGATCTTTTCATCAAAGGGAATGCTTTGCTTTTACTTGAGTTAGTTGATACATAAGCTTGCATTAGAAGGAGCATTAAAGCAAAAAACCCCATGCAGCACTGCAAAGCAGGAAGCAGAGCCTACATATATAATAATCCAATATGGCTGCCCCCATGTACATTTAATTCCATTTCTATGCCTAAAGCAGAACTCCAGCCAAAACATAAAAAGCCTATTAAAAGATAAAAATAAAATAAAAACGGCCTTTGCTGCAGTATTCCGCTTCATTCCAGAGATTCCCCCCCACAGTACTTTTTTTCTGCCACTAAATGTCCTCAGTCTGATGGCCAGAATCATTGAGCCTGCTTCCTCTGTGCATGGGTCACCCTGGACACACTCCAGCATGTGACTAGACAGTGAAAGCGGCAGAGTCTCATGGCTCTGAGACTCTGGGGGTGATTTACTAACCTAAACACACACACACACCAGGTACGTGTGATTTTCACACAGCAAAACGTATTTATCAACCAAAAAGTCTCTAAAAGCATATTTCCACTAATGCCATATATGGAAAAATCATGCACATGATGCATATATAATGCTGCTTCACAGTTTAGACAAAAATGGTTAGCTCATGCATTTACATTCCTTGCATTCATCAACGCAAGCAACACAACATAGAGCTAATTTACCCAACATCACCTTGGAATTCCTTCAGGGCTTTGCACAACACACCTGCTGGGTGTGTACACATTACAAAGGTGTTTAGATTCCACTCATAGATCATGCTGGGAGGGAACACACTGCAGAGGTGTATACACATTCGTGGTGTGTTTATAAGGTTAGTAAATCAACCCCTCTGTCTCATGGCTCTGAGACTCTGGGGTTGATTTACTAACCTTATAAACACACCACGAACATGTATACACCTCTGTAGTGTGTTCCCTCCCAGCATGATCTATGGGTGGAATCTAAACACCTTTTGTAGTGTGTACACACCTAGCAGGTGTGTTGTGCAAAGCCAAGCATGAATTGCAAGGTGATCTTGTGTAAATTAGCTCTATGTTGTGTTGCTTGCGTTGATGAATGCAGGAATGTAAATGCATGAGCTAACCATTTTTGTCTAAACTGTGAAGCAGCATTATATATGCATCATGTGCATGATTTTTCCATATATGGCATTAGTGGAAATATGCTTTTAGAGACTTTTTGGTTGATAAATACGTTTTGCTGTGTAAAAATCACACGCACCTAGTGTGTGCGTGTGTTTAGGTTAGTAAATCACCCCCTCTGTCTCATGGCTCATGACTTTGTCACTGCTCTCTCCTATCAGCATGCTTCTTGTTAGTGCATGCACTGATTGGTTTCTTGTGCTGCTACTTCTTCTCACACTCCCACCCTGATATAGAGGGATTGCAAGAGGCTGACACCAGGTCAAATCCAGATATTTACACTGTTTGAACCTACACAAAATACATTTAATTGTGTATTAATAATTAGCCCTGCATTAATGTTTTTCTTATCTGCCAAACTGCCATCTACTGTTCAGTTTTTAGTGGGGGGGTTTGGGAGACATGCTAGAGACTGACATCCAGGTTCACATGGATTTCAAAGAAAACATTTGAACAGATGTATGCAGTCAGTGTGGCTTTCATCCTCTGCTCAGTACGTTGCTGGCAGCATTCATTTATATTCCATATACATTAGTACTAGAGGTGCACCGACAGGGACATTTTAAAAACGAAACCGAAATTAAAAAAACTGTCAGGCTGAAACCGATACCGAAAATGGTTTGATTTTAATTTTTTCAAATATTTTAATTTTATTTATTTTTTATAAACTTTTTAATTTGTTTATTTTCATTTTTTATTAAATATTTGTATTTTTTACTTTACTTTTAGAGTTTCGGGGAGTATTGGGGGTCTAAACAGACCCCTGATATTTCCCTTTTAAAATGGAAAAAGACATTTAAGACCGAGTCCTCAATCTCTTTTTCTGCAGCCTCAGTTATCAATGAACAGGAATCCTCTGAGTGTTTCTGTTCATTGATAACATGAGGACATGGTATGTTTACTATAACTACAACTATGAATGAACAGGAGGGGATGTAGAGCACTTCCCATTTATTCATAATTGAGGATCTAGTTAACATACCATGTCCTCAATTATCTACAAACACTCAGCGATCACTGATCGCTGAGTGTTTGTACCTTGCTCTCCTCTGACAGCTGTCACAGGAGGCTGAGCGAGCGGTGCAGGGAGAGCTCAGCCTTCTGTGCCAGCACGGCCTGTCTCTGCTCACACACAGCTCTGCCGGACTGTGATAGGCGGCTGAGCGGTGTGGGAGGAGAGACACTGGCCGCTCACAGCGCTCAGGGGAGTATTGGGGGTCTAAACAGACCCCTGATATTTCCCTTTTAAAATGGAAAAAGACATTTAAGACCGAGTCCTCAATCTCTTTTTCTGCAGCCTCAGTTATCAATGAACAGGAATCCTCTGAGTGTTTCTGTTCATTGATAACATGAGGACATGGTATGTTTACTATAACTACAACTATGAATGAACAGGAGGGGATGTAGAGCACTTCCCATTTATTCATAATTGAGGATCTAGTTAACATACCATGTCCTCAATTATCTACAAACACTCAGCGATCACTGATCGCTGAGTGTTTGTACCTTGCTCTCCTCTGACAGCTGTCACAGGAGGCTGAGCGAGCGGTGCAGGGAGAGCTCAGCCTTCTGTGCCAGCACGGCCTGTCTCTGCTCACACACAGCTCTGCCGGACTGTGATAGGCGGCTGAGCGGTGTGGGAGGAGAGACACTGGCCGCTCACAGCGCTCCCCTACCGCAGCGCTCGGCCGCCTGTGACACTTTCTCTCTTCCCCACTGGGACACAGAGCAGCGCCCAGCGGGGAGGAGAGAAAGCACGGATGTGGCGATTGTATCGGCCGAAACATGGCACTTTCGGCATTATGACAAAAGTGCAATTTTCGGCCGATATGTTTCGGCGGCCGATATATCGGTGCATGCCTAATTAGTACATTGCACTGGTATGAATGTGGCTTTAGGTAGCTCTGATGTTTAGGGAAAGCGTGTCATAGAATACAGGCTCTAACAGTCAGCCCTGAATGCAGTACAGCAAGCCATGTCATATTGGGCACCCACTTACTCCATAAATACACTTCCATTAAAGGTTAGTAAGCTTTCCAGTGTTTGGGATTTGTTCTGTTGTCCCAAACGGCAGTACACGTGTTTTAGGATGTTTTTATCTTACTGTGTGTTAGAGCCCTTCTAGTGTGAACTAGGCCATGTGATTTATAGAGATTTAGATTTTTTTTTCTTTTTAAAAGTGTGTATTTTATTTATTTTTTCTCTTCTAAAAGGTGGAATTTTCCTCTACTAAGTTAGTATTACATTTATTGGAGCAGTTGTCTTTCTGTTTGCAGTAGTTACCCCAATAAGAACCACATTGCTGAAATACACTGGTGCAGAGTCCTGAAAGTGGCAAGCTTTACAACATTACCCTGTCACTACACAGGAACCTCTCTGACACACACACACACACATGTCACTTTCCAGCACGTGTGGGATGTCCAGCAACATTGTGTACATGAGCCAATAAAAACAAAAACTGCACTTTGCCCCTTCCAATGTGATAACGGAGGGCAAACACTGCTGCAACATCTGGAAAGTGTAGAAAATGCCATTGCTATTGTCTGGGCAGTTCCTATACATGCTCCTGTAGTCTGTTTAAAGTGGAACTCCCATATTTCTATTTTTATTTTTTCCATTTGGGATAGAGCGGGAAAGGTTTGGCACCATTTCTTTACTTGGGCAAATTCTGGTGTATGTTCCTGACACTTAATGTGCAACTGAAGCCAAAACCTTTTTAGTTTTGGATTGAGTGGAGAGG